AGACCACTCTCGTATTCACACGTGTGTGTGTGTGTGTGTGTATATGTGTGGGGGGGGGGGGGGGGTTTTTCATATATATTTATATCTATATAGTGTGTGTGATATATATATATATATATATATATATATATATATATATATATATATATATATATATATATATATATATATATATATATATATATATATATATATATTTGAATTGTTTTTCTATTCATGTTTTGCAAGAACTATGTTTACTTTCTTTTTTTGTTTGAAAATTTGCAAGAACTATGGTTGCTTTGATAAATCAATTATGTTGTTTTTACAAGTATTTACATTTCATCTTATTGACCTTTGCTTTAGATTTTTGCCTTTTGACGGAAAATTACGAAAAATGCTCTTAGGTTTTACCAAAATGCCTCATACCAATAAAGTGGGTATCCCCTAATTATAAAGGAGTGATAAGTCTCATATTAAACCGATATTGGACTATACTTTGCACCTCATCGATCCTCTATTATTTTCAATCACTCTAAAAAATGCTCATCTTGAAAAAATAAGTACAAGTGTACACGTATATCATATAATCTTGTAGTACACACGAAATTTGTACATGAATTGCACTTAATTTTCATGTGACTTGCACTTGATTTGCACGTTAGTTGCACTTAATGTGGAAGAATGGAATATCTTTTGGCGGCAAGTGAATTTGGATTCGAAACCGACCTTATTTCATACAAAACAACTTATAGTTAATTTTATTTTCATTCATAATCTATATATCTATATATAATCTAAAAAGAGTATCTGTGCCCTCAATGATTGACATGTGGCAAATGATGATTTCTTTTATCAAAATTGCTTAGTTGGAGTTCAATTGATGAGGTAGATTCTTCAATTGGTGAGTTGTCAATTTTATTTTGGTATGTATTTAAGTTATTTCCTATTTAACATTTATACACTCATTTAAACATTTACCACGTGTATATATATTTTTTCCAAATTTAATATTCTATAAATTCGAAATAAAAATATCTGATTTATATTGGCAATATTTTGAAAATATATTTATTGAAAAAAATTCACGATACACAATTTTTTTACGAATATTCAAATAATTTTTAGATTTTTTTAATATTAAAATATTAAAATATAGGAATATTGTTTTTTTTTTTAATTTTCAATATTTTGGAATATTCGAATATCCATTCAATAAAAAAATTATGATATCTATATAAAATGGATATATTAATAAATTAATAAATATTTCATATTTTTTTCA